CAGTACAGGAAGTTGTTGAGTAATAGCATTGATTTGAACACTGAAAAGTGTGACACTCAAGACACAGCTCTGAGATACTCCAAGTTCCTGTGTGAAGGAATGGGAAAGGGTTGAACCCATATGGACTTGGAAACTCCTGTCAAGTAAAAAATTATGAATATAAATGGGTAAATGGCCACGCAACCTATGGGAGTGGAGGTCCCATAAAGTGTCGTAAGCCTACTTAAAATCAACTAAAATGGACATAAGATGTTCTTTCTTGAAAAAGGCTTCCCTGATCGAGGTTTCAAGTCAAATCAAGTGGTTCGTGATGGAGTGCTGTTGACATTGAGGTGGGCATGAGGAGGTTGTTTGATTCCTTCAATCAAACAAGATGAGCTAATCATCCTCTCCAAAAACTTAGAGACAGCTAGTCAAAGCAATAGGATGATAATTATAAGGAATCTTGGGATCCATCCCAGGGTTAGGAAAAGGTAGAACAATAGCCTTGCACCAGGCATCAGGAAAATGTTCTCCTGCCAGATCCAGTTAAAAATTACCATAAGAAAAGCAAGTAAGGCTGGAAAGAGATGCTGCAGAATCTCATAGTGAATGTCATCTGGCCCAACAGATGTACTGCCAGACAAATGAAGACCAAGCTTAAGTTCCACCAGTGTAAAAGGGTGATTATAATCATAGAGTTGATCAGCCCAAAAGGAACAGGCAAATGCTCTGCCCGAGACTTGATGGCCATGAAGGCAGGAAAAGAAACAGAAGTGCTGGAGAGATAAGAAGAGTACTCTATGAGAGTGTTGGCGATGCTCTGTACATCAGCAACTTCTTGGCTATTGACCTTCCAAATTTGTCCCAGACGACTTTGGAACTAGTGGTAAGAAAAGATACTTAATACAAGATTCCTTCTGGCTTTGACTGCTGAGCATGGGCACAGGCCCACTGAAAAGCAATGCAGTTGGTAAGAGTGGGATACCTGCGAAAGGTATCCCAAGCCTGTTTCTGAGCCCTCCATGCCTGCTGGCAAGCAGGAGACCACCATGGATAAGGATAATGTAGAAAATGTGTTGAAGGTTTGAGGATAGAATAAACAGCTGCTCAAAAAATAACAATCAGTTACTGCCTCTATGCAGTTATTAATAGATGGAAAACTAATGAAAACAGGATCTAATTCCAAGAGAGTGGTGACAGGCTGCTCCAATTTCCACCATGGCACTCAAGTTGGGTGGCATTGACCACAACCAACCTCCCTCGAAACAATGGGAAAATGATCACTGCCCCATGGATCATTGTCAACCCTCCAAAAAAAAAAAAAAAGAGAAAATAGGGAAGGTGAACTGACAGAGAGATGAATAGCAGTAAAGGACTGATTGGGTGCATGAAAATAGGTAAGTGAACCAGCATGGAAGAGAAGTTGTGAACTGAGAGCATATGCTCCTCAGATCAACCACTCCCATCAATATCAACACCACCCCAAATGGAATTGTGTACATTAAGGTCTCCCAAGATGAAAAAGAGAGATGGCAACTGTTCTATGTGAAATCAAGGTCTGGTTGATTGTAATTCTCTCTAGGAGACAGGTAGAAAGAACAAACAGCAATGGTATGACCCACAGAGATATGTACAGCCTCCGAGGGTGTATCAAGTGGCACAGATAAGGTGGGTATATGCTGGTAAAACAGCAGTGCCATCTCTCCATGAACTCATCATCACACAACCTGTCATTCTGATATAAAGAAAATTGCCAAAAAGTGACAGCATAAGCAGGCCAAAGTAACGTTTCATACAAGAAGAGAAACATGGGATGATAGGAATCAATCAAGGCATTAATATCATCCAAATTAGAATGAAAACCTCAACAGTTTCACTGTAACAAAATGGTCATTTAGGTGGTGGAGAACCCTTCTGCTTGTGACCATGATGATTTTCTTTAGTAGAAAGAGGTCTGTTTACCTCCATAGAACCGGCCCTGGCTCAACTGGGCAGATATCTATTGGAAGAAGGAGACTCCAGTGACTGAGGGCATGACCAAATAATGGTCCTACCCCTTAGGGCCACAGGAGATGGATCCAAGCAGTTACTGGAAGAAATGGTGGGGACAGAGACAGGTGTAGATGCTGACTTGTCAACTTATGGAACCATGGAGGGCAAAAGACTCTGGTGGAAGCACGGAAAAATCTGTCTTAGACAGAAATATACATACAGTACAATGCTTCGAGATGGCTTGAATATAAGTTTAAGACAAGTTTTTCTTCATTACCCATTCAAGCCATCTCCAAGCATTATTAGTCTCAAAGTGGGTTCCTCGTCATCGAATTTGAATACATACAGTATATAACAAGTCATATGACTGAAGACTTCTTAAGCCTTAATAAAATTATCTTCTTGATGTTTGGTTCTTTGTTTAAAATTGTGGTATTTTTGCTTTTTAACCCCCTCACTACAGACAAGTCAAAGTGGATATGTCACAATTTTTGAAAGAGTTACATTTAAAATTTAATTAAAATACTTTATTATTATTGTCATGATATATGAATAAACTTGGCATAAAAATGTAGTTAATAAATCAAATTTTAATAAAGTTTTAAGTTCTTAATTTTATAAGGAAGTATTAAAAAATTCTCAATCTTACCCTAGTATGAGAAATGTAACATTTATTCTCTAGGTATCCCCTCTTCTCTAATTTATTTACCACCCCTCCAAGAAGTACAGAATTTAACTTAAGATTATTCATTATAATATTGTTATTACTCAGACAAAGCATAATTATTATAGCCTTCAATCTTATTTGGTTACAGAGACATAAAATAGAAAATCAGAACCCTCTTGCCATGCCTACCTATCACATACTCTCTTTCACAAATTGCCAACAGTTCTCTCTGATGTTCAATACTATATTAGAAAACTAAAGTTTTAACCTATCAAATGATGCATTACATTATGTTGTGTTCCGTAAAAAGAATTGTCTAATCCAGTTCAAACTTTATTCATCAATGAGCTTAGCTGAAATTTAAAAGTTCTTATCATACTTAGAAAGCAAGAAAAAATATGATATAGTTGTAGGACCTTGTTTGCTTGTTTGATATTATTCTGTGTTCTTAAATGCATTATTTAATTAAATAAAAAAGTATTTATTGTAGTAGTAGTAGTAGTAGTAGTAGTACCACCATCAATATAAAAAGTAGGGTTAAGTTTCATCGATGGTTGACAGCAAAAAATAAAAAGAAAGAAAAACAAGATACAGGTAATTATTATTTTTCTTGTTTTTCATGTGTATTCTTTATTTATTACTAAAAAAGTAATTACAATTTAAAATTTAGAAACTTATTAGGTTATTTAAGGTACGATAAAGAAAAAGAATAATAATGAAAAACATTTTTCACAAGGTACACTCACAAGCAGCTTGCGAGTAGCTCATGCCTTACATAATTTAATAAGGTAACATGAGCTACACATTTGATGACTGATCTACAGCTTGTGTGGCAGGGTTATCAGTTAAACAGTGTCCAAAGGGCAATAATACAATAAAATTTAAATATAAATAGATGTATACCATTACTAGTTTTAAGCTATTTAGGATAAACAAGTCTCATTTTCTGTTACAAATTGAAGTCATTCTAGAAAGAAAAAAAGGTCATTTTGATTTACTTCCTAATTTTTTACGGTGGTCAAGAGGTCAGTCAATTTGACCAAACCTGTACAGATAACAAAAAAATACAACTTTTTTTACAAAAAAAAGAGAGGAAAAAAAAACTGAAATTTATTAATGAGGTTTTAGAGATTATTCAAATGAGATCTGACAATTTTCAGATGAACAAAAGTATTTTCAATCTTATCATGAAAATCATTTTACACTTGGAGCAGTCAACATTTCGACTCCATTAAAAATTCTGATTTTTTGTCTGTAAAAGACTTGTAATGCTTACTGAAAGCTTTCAAAAGTTTGTGAATATACACAAAACATGTTAAAAGTTATAGTATGGAAATGCTAAAAGACAATTTGGGGTCAAGATTTAGGTCAATTCCAATGAGTCCAAAGCAAGAGAGTTAAACAAGAGATTATTTTATTATTTTCACCAAATAAAATAAAAATCATGACCACAAAAATTCTGATGACTCAAATCTTTACTGAATATTATTTTTATGTTGGCTAACTGGGTACTTAATTATTTCTAACTGCAATTGTGATATGTTTTAAATAAAAACATTATTACCATTACTGGTAAAACAAGTTTTCATTATTTTATTATAAATTTATTTTATTTACAGAAGCTCAGTGTGGGATTACCGCATATTTTAAAAACAAAGATAACAATAACCACATTGCGATCTTTAGTCAACATTAGCAATTAATTCACTAATATTTGTTTTTTGTGAAATGCACAAATGGCAACTTTCAGACCAGGTGTATCATATGAAACCAATGGCAATTCAAGGATTACTTAAAAATAACCAAAATAATTTTAATGCCATGTTAGAATAATGCACTGGATAAACACTGATAAAGCTACAAGGTCAGTGCAAACACCTGTTGTTATTTGTTTCTACTTGTACAAGAGGGAAGAAGATATCTATAATCATTTAATTAGCCCATCAATTAATCAACTAGCAAACACCACTAATTGCTCAGCTCTAAAAATAAATACAATACAGAAATTCGTATATTTCAAGGAAACTAGTGATCACATGGGATAATATTACTTTGTTATCCTCGTACTTGCTTTGTAGAAAATTATAAGCAATTCTTCTTGAAAAACATACATTACATATTTATATATATATATATATATATATGTAAATTATACACTTTAAGGTTTAAAAACAAGAGTTAATATTAATAATAATACAGGAATACATGAAAATTTTTATCATTCCCTACTTTAGAAGAAAGTATGAATTAACCTTTGTTTTTCAACCATCTTAGTTTTTATTAATTATTATAAATTATTTCTGAAAATGAACATTCCTTTAACTTTTGTGAATATCTTAAAATAAATGTAAACACATACTTGCTTTAAGGACATTGATGTAGGTAAGAATAGTTTCCTGAGAGTTTTTTCTTCCACCATATTGCTAACAACTCTCATGAGCTCAACACTCAAGGATACAGCAGCTGTAAAAACAATAACTGGCACACTTAATACAGGTTGACTACATTCTACAAGGACTCCTCTTAGAAATTACCTATCTGATGAGACACTAAAACAAAAATGTCTTAATATTTTATTTAAACTGATCCTTAAAAATGAATTTATGTGCTTGCTTTTAATACTATCTATACAACGAGGCAAGATTAAAAAAATTAATCCAAAATTTTAATTAGACCCTTCATACAAAATGACAAGGCATGTGGATAGTGTTCTCTGTGGGGTAATTAGGGAGAAAAGAATTAGATTATGCTATGCAGAGGCACAGGGGATATAATGAAGGAGGACTAACAGAGATGCAGCTTTTGTTGGGCACATAGGGGCTAATGATGTAAGGAAAGGTAGGTCAGAATAGCTAATTAATAAGTACCAGGGGTTGATAAAGACATTTAAAGAAAAATGACATAAGTATCCCCAGAAATAATTATGTTGATGAAGTTATAAGTAGGTCACTAGGGCTAAATGCTAAGCTTAGGTTAATATGTAAGGATGAGCAGATTGACTGGTTGTTCTTGTGGGATCAGTTCAATGGATGAAAGGAGCTTTTGGGAATGGATGGTTTACATTTAAATAGGATAGGGGTTGGCTTGTTTGCTAGGGCTATTAACTCAGCTGTAAGGGAAGTTTTAAACTAGGACTAGACAGTGGTAAAAGCCAGGATAAACTAAATGCAAAGAGAATAAGAGGTAGAGAAAAGTTTAGCATAGGAAATGAGTATAGAAGTAATTATAAGGGTAGGCTTAATTTTTACACTGTAATGCTTAAAGTATAAGAAATAAAATAGATGGCTTTAGAGCACTGCTAACAATGGGGGATTTTGATATAGTGGGAATAACTGAAACATGGTTAAATGTAGATGTTTTTTATGATAGAAATTGCAGTGAAATACAGGGTTACAGGCTATTTAATAGGGATAGATGAAGTCATAATTATGCTTGATTTTAATTTCGGGCATATAGATTGGGAAATGCTATAGTCTAATCATGAGGGAGAAAGGTTTTTGGAAACTGTTCAAGATGGCTTTCTTCACCAGTTAGTCAAGGAACCTACTAGAAACAATACTATTTTAGAAATGATAGAGAGGGTGGAAATTGGGAAACATTTGGGTGCAAGTGATCATTGCTCTATTAGGTTCAATGTTTTGCTGCTTACGGAGATAAGGAATAATGATATTTTGGTTACAAAGTTTTCAAAAAAAAAGCTAATTTTAAATGGATGGGACAATAATTATCTGTAGTGAATTGGGCAGCTGAATTAGTTGGAGTCACTGATCAGATGTGGAAAATTCTTAAAGATAAATTTTTAAATATTCAAGGTAAACACATTTCTTATAGAAAGAAAAGTGTAGATGCAAGTCAAAAACCAGGTTGGCTCACAAAGAGTATAAAAGATAAAATTAAAGAAAAGCATCATAAAATTAAAAGATTGACTGGTATGATGGGAGATTTATAAGATTACAGAAAATCAAGAAAGTTCGTGAAACAAGAAATTAGAACATTAGAAAAGGTTGGCTGAAAATGTGAAAATTAACAGTAAGGATTTCTTTAAATACATTAAGGGTAAACAAATGTTAGGATGATGTAGGACCATTGAGGAATGATGATTATGAGATGACTAGGTTATTAAATTTTACTATTTATTCAGTTTTTACTAATGAAGATTTAAGCAGTATTCCACATCTTGAACAGTTGATGGATGGAAACAAGATGACTGCACTAATTCTGAGCTGGTTAAGAAAAATGGGAAGTTTAAAGAATGATAAGGCTCCTGGGCCAGATAATATTTCCCCAAGGGTTTTAAAGGAGGTTAAAAATTGGACATATCAGCCACTTGCTACTATTTTTTGTAAGTCCTTGAATAGTAGTAGGCAGGTACCAAAAATTGGAAGTTAGCTAATGACACTCCTCTTTTCAAAGGAGATAATAAAAATTGTCCCAGTTATTATAGGCCCATTAATCTTACGTCAGTTGTGGGAAAAATTTTTAGAAAGTCTGATAAAAGATGCTTTGCAAATCCATTTAACAAAGTTCAGAATTATATTGGATAGTTAACATGGTTTCACTAAGGGAAAATCTTGCCTTATAGATCTTTTAATATTCTTTGGTTACTGCTTACGTAGATGAGGGTAAGGGAGAAGATTTGGTGTATCTGAATTTTCAGAAAGCATTTGACAAGGTGCCACATAAGAGGCTTGTACAAGAAATTCTCTCTATACATGTGGGAGATAAGTTAGCAAATTGGATAGAAGAGTGACTGGATGGAAGAAAGCAGAGGGTTGTTACTTGTTACAACTGGGGTACCTCAGGGCTCAGTCTTAAGACCTTTGCTCTTTTTGATTTACATCAATGACATAGATGAATGAAGAGTCAATAAATTGCTTATATATGATGATGATATTAACGTATTGGGTGTTATTGGCTGTGAAGAGGATACTGCTGCTGCTTTACAAAAGGATTTAGATCATTTAGTGATTGGGCAAATAAATAGCAGATGGGTTTTAATCT